CTCTTTTAGGTTAAATATTAAGGAGAAATTGTAAAAATATCATTTTTGTGCATATTTGCAAAAATGTCATTTAGGGGTGTTTATTTGCAAAAATATCACTAATTATAGATTTTTAAACCCTATATCTTAAAATTTTAAACACTAAAAAATGTTTTGATCCCTAAACCTCTCTAAACTCTCATAACTAACCCCTAATAGAAAATAATTAACCTAAACATAAATAATATAAAGAAAAAATAATTTTTAAAAAATGGTATTTTTGTAAAGTGTCATTTGAAAAGTGGCATTTTTTTTGAAATTTCTTAAATATTAATGAATTTATCTTTGAATCTTCATGAGTTTTCACTCTTGAGTCTTGACATTTCCCTCGTCAACAACACGTTACAGAGATTCATTGAAAAGAGAAGATGCCAACAAAGAACAAAACAAAGCTAAGATCATTTGTTTGGTTCGTCCAAAAAAGAAAAAGAGCAATTACAAAAATGTCATGTGCACATTTGCAAAAATACCATTTAAGAGTGTCCATTTACAAAAATGCCACTAATTATAGATTTATAAAATTTATATCTTAAAATTCTAAACCCTAAAAAATATTTTGACACCTAAAACCCCCTAAACACTCAAAACTAAACTCTAATAGAACATAATTAATCCAAATATAAATAATATAAAGAAAAAATAATTTTGAAAAAGTGGCATTTTTGTAAAGATTTCAAAAGTGTGGTATTTTTGTAAAGTGGCACTTAAAAAGTGGCATTTTTTAAAATTTCTCAAAAAAAAAGATTTATTCGGTAAATGGAATTAGCATAGAAAAAGATGATAATACAACAAGTGGTGCATGCACCCATAATACAAGGTTTACTTATCAACAAAAAAAACAAGGTTACCTACGTTCTAACCATATTCACACAAATTACGAAAAATATTAAAAGTTTTACTTTACTTTTTATTAATACATTAAAATCATTTCTATTCGTGGTATATCATGGAATCTCTCAATAAATAATATAATATTAAATCAGTCTCTCAAAATATCTCAAAATATCTTATTTGAGAGATTTTGGGTTGAATTTTCAATTTTTGAAAAACTCACTTA